GATATATACAAGTATTATCTGTTATATATATAAGTATTGGGACCCATGTTCTCTATCCTTGGGCCCAAATATCAATGTAGGCATTCCAACGAAGATTACTACTAATAATAACACCAAACATTGGTAAGTCGGGGTAAGAGATAGATATTTATGGTACAGCGAGTAAGTTGTTAGTGTAGTTAGACTCTCAAACCCAAAATTTATACACACTTACGATCTATGCACGAAGTGAGGATAGATCTGACTGGAGCCCGTGTGCAGATACTTGGCTTCAAACGATTACTAAAACTCAATAGGTTCAGTTTGTTATTTGATAATCGCGAGCCAAACAACCTAAACACAGTCACAGTTGCAAAGGTTGACATGTTGACTTTTTCGTACGATCCTACCTACCGGTAGATGGCGTGCCGTTAAGCGCACGTAGCTCAAAAGTTGTTAGTGTTTTTTTGCGCCCCATGTGAAACCTTTAAAACGGTAAATCTTATTAAACTACTAAAACTCTTTGTGTATTGTTCTAGCGATGTTGTACAACAAACTTATTAATGTAATATTCATGGTGATAAAACTTATAAAACCAAGTTATACACATGTAACTTGCAGGGCTGCCAACTCTCACGCATTGACCTAGAAAGTCCTAGATACATTATTACATACATACAATAATGTAACTCAAACACGGGTAAGACTAGATACAATAATGTAACCCCAACCCAAGAGGATAGGTCTTGGACCCCCTATCCTCTTGGGTTTGGGTTACATTATTGTATCTAGGTATAAGACTAATCCCCGGGCACTCTGTCTCTGGCGCAGCCGGCTGAAAGGGGTGGTAGGATATGTTTACTATAGGCACTTTTAATTTTAACATATATTTTACGATATATTAAAGAATGATGCAAAAACCCTAAAAAGTGCCCTAACCCTAACCCTAACCCTAACCCTAACCCTAACCCTAACCCTGACCCTAATTAAATTTAAAATATATGTTAAAATCAGAAGTGCCTATATAGTAAACATCCTACCACCCCACCCCTTTCAGCTGGCTGCCACTCTGGCAGGGCGAGCCCATGCACAATGTAGTGGTGGTCGGGTAGGGTAGGCCTAAGTTGAACCCTAACCCTAACCCTAACCCTATCCCTATCCCTATCCCTAACCCTAGCCCTAAACCTAACCTAACCTAAACCCTAACCCTAACCATACCCTACCCGACCACCCCTACATTGTGGGCTCGCCCTGCCAGAGTGCCCGGGGATTAGTCTTTTCCCCCAAACACAGGGTAGGAGTTACATGTGTTTGGGTTACATTATTGTATCTAGCATTGACCGTGAGACTCACGCATTTTGACCAAATCTCACGCTCTCACGCTGATCTTACAATATCTCGCGCACAGCAAAAAAATACTGAGGTATCTCATGCATGAATATCCCTTCATGAATAAAACGCTGAAATATCTCACGCACAGCAAAAAAAATCTTACAATATCTGAAAACAGTCACTTTAGTATGCACCAAATTGCACAAATTGAAGTTATAAAATGCAAAACTTAAAAAAGCTCCCTACCGTGAGAGGGGGGAAACACCCCTCCTACGCCCACCCCCCGCTCGGTCACTTCGCTCCCTCGCATCTCACTCTCACCTATCACCCAATGTTGGCAGCTCGATCTGAACTTGTTACATCTGTACTTAAGTTACTTCCACAAGTTCCCTTATCGATCATACTTACACTCACAGTCACAGTCACTTGAAGCGTTTCAATAAAGTATAATGCTAACTAAATACGAAATCTATTTACTACCAATTTCTTAATGTTTCTATAACTCTCTTTCAACTATTATTGCCGACAGTTTCCTGTAAATTCTGTCCAAATCCTATGTCCAACATGCGCTGCCGGCGGCCATTGCTCTCGCGGCTGCACTGTTGCACGCTTACACTATTTCAGTATTTGTTGCTACGGCCCTATAATCTATATAGTATATATAGTTGAATATAATTAAGCGATCAAAAAAGATTGTAATATTAGTTTTGTCATGAAAGATGAACAAATTACTATTATTAATTTGTTACTTGACAACAACAATGTTTTTGTCCACAACCAACACAACCCGCCCACCCCTCCACCGTCCACGTGCGGAAATACATAGTTCCCGCTGACTGGCTGGAGTAAGTTGGTCCCGGGCATTCATAATAGAATGATCTAGATAGCCCTGCAGCAACTGTACGCGGGCTAGAGTTATTGAGGGGCATGATACAAACTACTAACTCTAAATTTATGTAATTTTATGTGACAAAAAGTAGCCCCCCCCCCCCGTAAGCACAAAAAGAGCCCCCGAAAATATATTTACGGGGGATCTTTTTAATGGGGGGTTGGGAAAAGCCCCCGAAATTTTTTTTATTTGAGGGTTGCTATGCACAGATACCAAAATGGAGGCTGTTGTTGGTGTATTAGTGCTGTGATAGTGTGAAACGAAGTGAGCATCGTGCGAATTTTTCGGTCACACTTTCCCACGTGCTCTATAATTTTGTTGTTTGTGCATAGTGGCATGCATGCACTGCACTTGTGTGTTTGAGAGGTGCATTTGAATGGCCTTTACAGGAAATTGTCAGTAATAATAGGCAAAAGAGAGCAGAGAAACATTAAGACTTTGGTAGTAAATATATTTCGTGTTTATTTACCATCATTTTATTAGCTCAGCTGACGAAGTCAGATGCAGCTTGTAGAATCGCATGAATGTCTGTCCGTCTGTCCGGCCGTCCGTCCGTGTGTCAACAGTTACGGCACAAATCTTAACCGCTCGACGTACAATCTTGATAGTCGGGACGTCGGGGGGGATCGCGAAAAGGACTCGGGATGTCGAATTTGGGGGTCAAGGGTCAAAGGTCGAGATGTGTCAATGGAGGGGGAATATTTCCCCCTTAACTTAAGGTATAGGAGGAAATACGGAAATGCGGCACTAATCTCAACGGCTCGACCTACTCTCTTAATATTTGGTGTATAGTGTGATGGGAAGGAAACCCATCACCAGTGCGAAATTGGAGGTAACAGGTCAAAGGGCAGTGGGGGAAAGGTCAGATATCAGGCATTTTCTGAGGACATAGTTTAACGGACCGAGTGCAAAACTTTTTTGTTTTAGCGCTGATCTACCATTTTTATCACTTTATTGAAAGGACCATGAAATCTACTTTCCGCTGACCCCGGTGGGGTCAATCTCTATTAGAACATTGCCCCATGTGCATTCTCACTAAAAATAATAGGCCCCTTAGTGCGAACTGCACATTGGGAAACCCTACCCCCTATTGCAGACACAATTGAATAATACCACACCCTATTGCATACACAATGAAAAAATCCCACCCCCTGTTGCATACACAATGAAAGAGTCCTACCCGGGGTCCTACCCCCCGGAGGAAGGAAAAGAGAGAGATTATTTATCACATGAGAATTTATTTGTCACAGCTTAAAATACTCAACTAAGTTACATTGGGGTTACATTGCACTGAACTTGGTTACAACTGCATCACAGCTAACCTCCTTGTATTGTATCATCTGCATAGACCACTCGCATCTATTTTCTCAAAAATGACAATTTCAGGAGCAGCTATGCCCAGGCAGGTATACAATTAAGAGAGGCTGTAATATATTACATTTCTTTTAAATTTCAAGTGCATGTTACCTCTCCAGCAAGCCATCAATGAGAAGGTCTATCTTGTTGACCATAAAATCTGTCAGCCATCATACATACTGTATGTATAAATGCAGAATAAAACCTGGTAATAAAATGAACTTTAATTGAATTATTAAATTTGAGACTGAGTCCAAATATCTAACATAAATAGCAAGCTGGGTGAATGGCAACTCCCAATCCTGCTCCCAATTCCCCTTGCCCTGTTTGTTTAGGGATGGACCGCCTGTTCCGGGCCTGGGGCGGGGTACTATGTGGTTCGTCATGAGGGGGGCCTACTGCGGGCGCAGTGCTTGACTTGAACGATCCCGAGGGCTTTTTGCGGGATTAGCTTTGTAAAGGGGGGCCTATTTGCTCCCGCGCGGGTCCGCTTTAGAAGTTGAAAAACACCACCCTAACTCGCAAAATTTGGAATGCACATGGGGTAATAACGGCATATATAGTGACTCCCTCCGGGCCGCTGACGTGCGAAGAGTAAGTGTCTGATAACCTTTTGAGCCTCACGAGGAGGGTTAAACATGGATTTGTTGACTGTTAACAAAGGACTGAACTGCTTTTGCTATTAGAGCCACCTCCACCCACCCTCCACCCCACCTTCCCCCCACCACCACCACTACGCTCGTGCTCGATGCATATCCATGATAACGTTAATATAGCGAAGTCATTAAAGTTACACAGCTATATCTTTATTACTGTACTACCGGTATAGCAAAGCCTATCAACGCGTTGGCGGGAGGGCGCACTTGATTCGGTTGCCAGTGAGTTTATCAGAAGAATACCCGGCTACAGTACACGTCAGTTGAGCGCTGTTGCTCTGCGGCACTTGTTATTGAAACGTTGCGAGTGCCTGTGCTGTGGGCGCAATCTTGGTGTGGTACCCAGGGAAGTCTGTCCCATTTAAAAATATCAACAAGATATGTAGGCTACCCTCTAATCCTGAGTGTAAGTCAGAGGTTCACATTTAATAATATAGCATTATGCATTACGTTCGTTATATCACATGGAAAAGTACCAGGCATATTGTGTGTAACTGTTGAGTACATATTCATTAGTGATGTCCCGATGATCGATTATAATCGAAAATCGATCGATTATAGTCTCAAATTCGATAATCGATTATGAAAACAAATAGATATTGGGCACCCCCTCTAATAGTTATAGTACTGCCATACGCTACAACTGTGCCAAGTTTGAGACTTTTGTCACTCCTGTAATGATTCGGCCCATATTTTGCACTAAGGGACCTGACTAATAGCAACATGTCGTCATTGGTCGTAATGAAGATTTAAGCATTTGTTCTCCGAAAATGAACGTTTTTTCAGCATTTGTTCTCATATTTTCTCATTTTGAAATGTTTGAGAGGAGTTGTTTGCTCTGCTCTGAGGTAGTGGGGGCAGTACAATTAAGCAGCAGTGAACTGTAGCTGCAGGCCTATATCAATCAAGTCTTCAATCAATAATATGGCATCCAATGAATAAATGATCTTTTCCATTATGTACACTCAATGATCAAGTATCAATTAGTAATATATAATATTATAATAATATGATCCAGTGTAAATTAACATAGAAGTGCACATATACTCAGCTCCAGTAAGCAGCGTAGGTGATTGCTAAACACAAAAAACTATGATAATGGGATGTTGGCATGGTTGAGTATATTGCAAGAGCTTGTAGTATATTATCAAGAGCTAATAATACCAAGGTATTATTAACTCTTGATATTATGAAACTATCTGCGAAATCCAAATTAGTAACAGCCGTAGTAATTATCAACAGCAGTAGAGAGTGGTAGGTGAGCTCCAAAATGTGATTATACCTCACTAACCTTTGACCGAATAGAATTCAATGCCTACTAATCAGCATATAGCCTTCTACAGCAGGCAGTACTGTTAAACTTGTTATCTGTGTAAAAACGATTAGGAACCCATTTAACCAACGCGCGGGCCATCGTAACATGATAGATTATGTGTCACAACGGGGATGCATCTATTATACTGGGGATATAATCACAAGTTTACCCATAATATTGCAAGTGAACTCAGTTGGCGGCAAACAGAATGTCAGAATTGTGATAGGTCTGGTTTTCTGAACAGGTCGAACAATTCAGGCTGAGTCATCAATGCTGGTATGTGGCTGTATGTGCATGGTCAACAAAACATGCAAGATCACTAGTTGCTGTGAGCATTTCGCCATACAGAGGTAAGGGGTGGGAGTCACAGTGGGAGTATGGGCATTGCGCCATAAGGGGGTGGGAGTCACACACACACACATCTTTGAGTCCATAAGCAATCATAGGCCTATCATTTGCTCAGGCTAAACAAAGCCTTTATGGTGAGCTTCTATTACATTAAAGTGGGTTGCTGTAAACCTGTTTTCATAATAACTATTTTTACTTGCTATATTGCAAGGGTTTAACAGCATTTTTACAATTACTAAAACTCTTTATGTTATAGAATAGGCCATCCTTTCTCTAAAACACTACTTCCGTGCGTGGACTCAATTTCTCCCTTTGAATACTGCCTCAATCGCTTGGTCACTCACGTCCTCACTCGCTAAAATGCTCATTCAGTCGCTTCCTTATTCACTCATGCTGACCCAAGTATTTATTGACCCAATCGCTCACACTCACCCATCCACCCTCTCACTAGCCAACCCACCCGCTCACACTCATGCACCCATCCACTCACTAGCCAACCCACCCGCTCACACTCACCCATCCACCCACTCACTAGCCAACCCACCCACTACTCACTCCCTCACTCACTCATAGCAACCCACGCAGTCACTCATGCACCCATCCACTCACTAGCAACCACCCGCTCCACTCACGCATCCCCACTCACTCAGGCCAACCCACCTCCGCTCACAACTCACCCTCACCCACTCACTATGCAACACACCCGCTCACACTCACCCACCCATCACTCACTGCCAACCCACCCTTCACACTCACCCACCATCACTCACTAGAGCAACCCACCCGTTCACACTCATGCACCCATTCCTCCCAACTTCCACTTGCCAACCCACCGTAACTCACCAGTCCATCCCACTCACTAGCCCAAACCCACCCGTCACACTCGACCCACCATCCACTCAACTAGCCAAGCACCTGCTCACATCACCCACCATCCACTCACTAGCCCACACCTGACCTCACACTCACCCACCTCCACTCACTAGCCAACCACGCGCTCCACTCGATGCACCATCCACTCATAGCCAACCCCCCCGCTCACACTCACCCACCCATCCACTCACTAGCCAACCCACCCGCTCACACTCACCCACCCATCCACTCACTAGCCAACCCACCCGCTCACACTCACCCACCCATCCACTCACTAGCCAACCCACCCGCTCACACTCATGCACCCACCCACTACTCACTCACTCACTCACACAGTCACTCACTCTGACTGTATAGCATCTTTTTGACTATCCATCTATACATCAAAAATAGTTTATAAAAATTAAAACGCTAAATTATTAATGCTAAATATCACTCACTTTCCAAGGTTTATGTTTTCGTTATGTGAAGGAACAGTCTAAAAATCATCAGATCAAGGAGGTTAAAGATTAGAGGTACAATTTACTTTCTTTTGACTTCACTTTTATGTATTTCATTATATTATTCTGTTTCTAGTATTTGCTATAATTATATAGAACGCACTGCCAATACTCCACACTGGTTTTACATTCCAGCTCAAGTATATCTATCTAACTCAAATATTGATACAAGTAGCGTTGAGGCTATCCACCCCGTTATAGATGCTTTAACAGGTGTGTTATCCGATAGTGTAGTAAGGCATGTTTATAAATGTTTAAATATATAGCATTTGTAGCTACATCGTGTTTTAACTGTAGCACACACATTTCATCCCCTTTTAATATAATTCCGTATTTGTTCAGTTTTATCTGGAAGCATCCAATTTTAACACGACGCACCCACTCGCGTACACGGATGTGTGCTTTCTTCTAAAGAAAACAGCCTACAGGTAAGTTGGCATTGCCATATTGCCTTGTTGCATTGTATACCTTATGTACGTGTACAGTTGGCACCGGAGTGGGTGGCTGCTGATTGTCCACATATTTTGCTCTGCAGGTGAAGCTTATTTGCACATAAAAAAAGTTTGCTGTTAGCACCAAGTGCAACATGTAAATTGTTAGGAATAGCCTTCGAGTTTCCTGATAGCCCCTCGTCTATTGCCCAACAGATCACTGTGAGTGCGTGGTCGTTTATGTTTCGTGAACTGTGCATGCTCCAATCCATGCATATCGTACAGTGTAAAAGGTATGTAAGGTGGTAAATCTTTTTGTGATGTGTTTGCGCATTTCGAGGTACTATAGCAAAGCGAGCAGCGCAGGTGCTGGCCAAGGTAGGGGGGTCCGAGGGCATGCTCCCCCAGAAGATTTTTTGTAAAAATGGTGCAATTGGTGCATTCTAAGCTATTCTGAACCCATTGTCTGAGACTCTTGAATCTCTTGAAGTTGTCAAAAGTTTAGTCAGCGAGGCGGTGTTTTGGACAAATTTCTGTGTGGCGGCTGAGAATTTGAGCGAGGCGACCCGCCTCGCCCGTGTCAATGCAGGGTAAACACTGTCATAGATAGGGTTACATACGTTCATTAGGAAAGTAGTTTGCTCAGGCAGTGTATGCGAGAGAACTGGATCAATCTATGCCTCGTACAGGAATTTCACAATTTAAGTGCAAAGTTTGTGATGAGGCTAAACGTTTTGATACCATCAAGAAGGCTTCAGTCACATGCGTTGGGTATTGCTCATCCACTCCCTTTGTACGCAATATTCACTTGATTCCATATATCATGCTTTGTTCATAAACTGGAGTAAACGAAATTACAACAAAAATATTAACATTGCCTTAGTTATAGACTGATGTATTGTATGCCATCAGTATTCAAATCAGTTTGACAATTGTTTAATTTGTGAATATCAGGAAAAGGAGCCTCACCCTAGTGCCTCACCCCCCACATCAATGGGATGGTTGCGTGGGTGAGTACGAGAAGCTGCGGCTGGCTTCAGCATTCCAGTAAATTTGTCGAGAGCATCACCAGCACGCCCATAGCTGATGCTACCCAGCTTCCTGCACGGTGATCATCGGTTTAAGGTAGGTTTGTTCTTGGCTTCTTGCCTGTCATCTTTTCTTTTATCACTACTGCTGCACTTGATGTTTGCTTTCACTTATTTGTACTGCCTGCTGTGAATCTGCACATATAAGTTAGGTACAATATGTATAACCCCTTTCGTTCAAAGCTGCAAGTCGGACCGTGTTCGCATTTCAGCAAGTTTGGTTTTTCGCATTGTGTCAAAAAGGCAGGCACGTGTGCTTTCATCGTTTGTGTGTAATTACTAATAATGTATTTACTTGTTCAGTTCAGTTAAGTTAAATTGAAATAGTATTTCTAGAATGTGGTCTATGGATCAGGTAGTTCTCTTGCAAAGTTAATATGCAGTTTCACATGAAGAAGCGTGACGTACTTAGTCAGGTTGACATATTATTATTATTATTATTATTATTATTATTATTATTATTATTATTGTTATTATTGTTAACATTAACATTAACATTATCCTCATCATCCTCATCATCATCATCATCATCATCATCATTATCATCATCATATTATATCCCTTAGAATAAAGTTGGACATCTCAAAAAGCAGGCAATATGAATGCATATATTTTTGTTTATATCCTCAGAGTGTTTACGCAGAGATCTATCCACCATGCACTGGAAGATTGTGGTCAGCCTAGCCGTTGCATTTCTAGCATATCTTATGATAGGGGGTGCCGTTTTCCAGGCTCTAGAGAGGTCCAACGAGACTGAGGCAAAGACTGTGTACATGGATGTGAACAAGGACTTTCTCAGTGAGTTATGCAACCTTACTAACCTTTATTTTTCCAGTGTATGGTTTTTCTCATGTATTTGTTTGAAATGGATTATGGTAGAGCATTTATGGTGGAAATGTCAATGTATTTCATAAATTGTGTGCTGGTGTACTCTTACTCCCAGCCCCCACCCCATCACCCCAACTGGCACTATTTATATATTAATGCCTGCTGTTGTGGCGCACTATGCATCTCATAGTGTTGCTGAGGCGAAAGGAATAGTGCCCGGGGAGCGTAGCCGAGGGCACTATTCTTTCCAAAGCCAACACTATGAGAACATCAGTTGCCCCAAACAGGCAGGATTAATGTTTTTAGTGCATAAACATGACTATGAAAATCTACTTTTCATGCGTATATACCTTCTTTATACTCCCTAATTTGCCGGTGCATTCGATGTGACAAAACGTTCGACACAAACACAACCGCCGTTCGAAATTACTCTTGCGTGGCGCCCAGACGCAGGAGATTCGTGACGTAAACACCATGCGTTATAATAACAATGCGTCGCGCACTATCGCTTCATAGTGCCTGCTGCGTTATCCAATGAGATTGCAGCGATTTATCACGTCATGCACTAATGGTTAGCATGCTGGCAAGTTGGGCACATGCATGAACACTTATTGTATCCATAGAGCCACCTTTCTGCTGTAGAGGACAACTTTCACCTAGTTGGAGTTATTTAACTAACTTACTTGAATTCTCAACACTATTAGCCTACTGGACATAAAAAGACTGCCAAAACCTGTTTCACAAAATGAAAAATATTGGTGCAGACACTCCCCATATGTATAATATAAAAAAAAAAAGTAATCAAAGTCATTTACAAGGGAAATGGAAAATAAATAAATGAGAGGTTGAATGTTGTGTTCAGTTACTGGTGGTTTGATAAATGGGTTTTGTCAAGATACTGAAATATAAAACATCAAAAACTATTGAGTTATTGCACGTTTGCATGGCCCTGTGTAACTGCATGGATGTTTGAACGAATGAGCAAATAACTATAGTGGTAAGCATTAACAAACAGTTGATTTTTCCTGGTGCTTCGCAATTACTATAAACTCCAATGGTTAATCGTATTCAATCACATATGATATGTACAGGTTTCGGAATGGAGATATTACCAACGGTCTAACGGCAGCTTACTACTATGTAGAGTCCAATCATACATTCACAAATGTGTGTGGCGCCTCACTGAGCTCCAGTGTTGGTGGGATTCCGCACGTCATGTGCACCCACGAGGTTCCTGTCATCATGTTTAATTTTGTTTGCTTTGCGTCGGATAGAACATTAATCGGTAGTCACTAAGCGAGCGAGTATCGCAGGAAGTTCGCGTGTTTATTCAAGGCTAACGCGCTCCATTAGGAGTATTTTTACCAACTTTGATATCATTAATGATTAATGATTAATGATTGACAATCCTAACCCTAACCCTAACCTAAATGACATTAAACCACAAACTAATATATGACCATGACCATATATATTATATATATATCAGGAGTAGATAATAGGGAGATAATAGGGTAGATAATACCTATTATCTACTCCTGATATATATATATATGTTATTATGGCCATTATAATGACATTAAAGTTGGGAACACTCCTAATGGAGTGTCACCCTTATTCAAAGCATGAGTTGGTCGCGTATGCATCACTCGTAATGGATACACTCTTGAATGAATGGGCCGTTGGCTAAAAAATATTGACCCAGGTTGTATATAAACCTAAAATTGTTTACTAATGTATTATTTTATTGATTTATAATGTGCATTACACATTCCTTTGATGAGTTAGTAATAAGCAGCTATCTATTTCAATAGGCTTTATATTTGTGTGTATAGCAAGAGTTATTATATTTAAGCCTATAATATAGTTACCTTCGCACAACTGAGTTGCTGGGAGGTAATGTGATCCCTCTCGTGTGATGCGTTCGTGTGTGTGTAGCCAGCAGCGAGCCAGCAGTTATACACATGTATACATGTTACAACTTACACGCGTTGGCGCGTTCGATTCAGCACCAGCTCGCCTTAGGCCGTCCAGTCAGCAGCAGCTCGCCTTAAGGCGTCCAGCCAGCAGCAGCCAGCAGCGAGCCAGCTGTTATACACATGTATACATGTTACACGCTCGCGGAGGTATGCACTCTTTTCGAGTGCCCTCTGTCTAGTTAGTATCATGTGGTCAGTGTATCATTGTTGGTGAGAAATAGTAGCAACAACAGAGTTCAGCGACCTTGGTGTATGTATGAGTGTAAGGACGAAAGAATATATGAATCAGAAAAGTACCCATTGATGAAATACTAAAAAGTTCATTTATGTAAATCATGGGTTATTTATTGGGTTCGGTTTCACTCACTATTAATTGCAAAAGTACTATAGTCTTAAATCTGTTTGTTGTTATAATCGTTACCTAAAAAGTCAGGCTATACTGCATGGTCATTAACCTATAATATTGTAAAATTGTACATGCACGCTATCTGATGTAGGATGCATGATTAACAAGAGCAATCGGAGATAGCAAACCTCCGCCACAGCGTAGCAGTGCCCCATCTTGCTGGTACACCCAATATAGTTTGATGAAATTTTCAGAAATTTGAAAAAAAAAGATTCAGGATTTTTTTTTTATGAACTTCGAATGCATCCGAAGTCTTCCCCACAAAAAAAAATCATAAAAAAATCCTGAATCCAGATCTGGATCCGGACAACCACCAAAATCTAATCGATTGGTTGTTGGCCCAAGACCAACCCGTCCAAAAAAATTCATCAAAATCCGTCTGTAACTTTTTGAGATATCCTGTTGACAGACAAACAAACACACAAACGAACAGACAAACAAACACACAAACGAACGGGCGAAAACAACCTCCTTGGCGGATGTAAAAATTCGCAATTGCCATTTGTGCAAATGTGGGATTCTTCTTCTGTGTCCACACAGCTGGTTTTCCTGTAGTTCATTTGCTGTTTGTTTTTGGATATCGGTTTCACATTGAGAAGCCAAGTACGTGTAGAAACATACAGCATTCAAACGTTGTTACTTGTCCATCAGAGCAGTGACGGTGGGGATGTATGTGTCATGCGAAGCCTCAATTAATGCATGCATCATGTGGCAATATAAAAATAGTAGTCTCCAACGTGTGTTGTACGTATTCTTAGCTTGTCATAAAATGCGCAGTGCATAAAAGGTAAAGCGTTTAGTCAACAATGAATGAATGAATGAAAGCAACTTCCTGCCTGCATTATCAGGCAGTTGTATTGTATGAGATAAACATTAATTTCTCCTTATACTCACTGATGTGATTAGTGCCACCATTACATTTTCCAACATACGTGTCGACTTTCAGAAAACTTCAGCTGTGTCAGTGAAGAAGATTTAAAGAGACTCGTGACATATGTTATCGGTGCATACAAGCATGGGGTGGTCTTCCTGGCAGTTCAGGAGGAAGAGGGAGAAGACGAGGATGTCTCCGTTTCCAACTGGGACTATTACTCTTCTCTGTTCTTTAGCGTCACTGTCATAACCACCATAGGTAGGTGTTCTCACGCTTTTATCTGGTATGCTAAATGTAGTACGCTTTTATCTGTATATAGGGACCCTAGCTAAATGTGGTGCATTCCACTGCTTCACCTGTGAAGTAATGATATGTGTGATTATTAGACGATTTCGTTCTTCGTGTAACCTCTCGTGCAAATGATATATATTATATTGATCACAGACAAGACATTTCATACCTATTTATAAGTACTGTATAAGCCGTATTTTTCGCGTACAGATATTTTCGCGAGTTCAGACTTGACGGACAATTTCGCGAGTGGTTAATTTCGCCGTCGATGAATTATGAATTATTCGGTATGAATTATTCGCATGTTGTTATTTTTGCGGTCGGGGACGCGTTCGCGAAATTCGCGAAAATTAAACCACCGCGAAATATACAGCTTATACAGTAAATAGTGAATAAGTAGAATGTAGCAATATTTGTGTATCATAATATTCATTAATGAATAATGGTCATAGTAGCCATTTTTAATCTATTAGTGTATTACCATGCAATTATATAGTAGTAAACTCCCTCTCTATTTCTGGACGTGCACACTCATGGGAAGTGTTCACGATAAAAAGCCCAATGGTTGGCAAACGTCTTCTACATACATGTTCCCACCAAAATGACATGCTTTAAAATATCTGACCACGCTGGCATTATTATTGCATTCTACGGATTTCTGGCTGCCTTGTCATCCTGCCCCAGGTTTGTTCAATACTGTGTTCTCTTGTGGTGCATGTCATACTAGTCCTCAGCTTCAGTGGGGAGGGGGAAGAATTGACTTGTTTATTCTATATCTTCACGAATTTCAATAACTGCTAATACATTCACGATACCTACCCTAGCAATGTACATTAAAAATTCTTCACAAAAAGGTTTTGCTTACCTATCCTAAAATATATTTCAGCGTAACTGAAAACATGCCTATATACCTTTGCTTGCTAAATCACTGCATATATATAATATAACATAGAACATGCCCATGCAAAACCACGAGAGTAAATTGAAAAATTATGAGAAAAAACACCAGGTGTGCACACACAAGTAAGAATCCTGGATCGATCATTTGTCACAAACAATATTTAACCAATGCAGTGTTTGAACAGGTAAGTGGTGTCTCCCTGATGTGTTTCTCGTGGCTTTGCACAGGTTACGGCCATCTGTCTCCAGGCACCTTCGCTGGTCAGCTCTTCTGCATACTGTATGCACTGGTTGGTATTCCGCTGACTGGAGTGTTCCTGGCTGGAGTTGGAGACAAACTAGCACGGGGATTTCACTTCCTCAACGACAAATCATTTCTGTCACAGTATGTCTGTCATACATGAGAGTGGTTAAGTAGAGATAGCGATACAGGTGGGAGACTTTGAGAGGAAAAAACGTGACTGTAAATTGCTATTGATGAAGCAGAGAATAGTTAACTAATGCGCACATGCAGCACAAAATATTCTAAAGTGTGTAGTAATGTATAATGAAATAGCAGATATATGCATAGACCAATTTATTAGAATTGTGAGACACCCGTATTAGCTATAAATAAAAGCACTACAGCCTACAGGCACGGCAGGGGCAGCAAACCACCTGGCTTTTCAATATGCTTAGCAGCAGAACAACAGTGATTTTTGAAAAAGAAAATTGGGGATTCTAAATTTTTAGTATGTTTTAGAAATTGGTAACCATTAGGATGGGTCATGTTGCTAACAAGGAAATGATGACTCAGAATATCAGATATTCTTTGACATTCCATCTCAGGGTGGAGCAGAGTGAAGGGTTTTATGAGATACCGGAGTCTTTTAGGTGACAAGCTAATTTCTTTTTTTTGGTAGGTATGACGGAAGATGTGCTAAAGTTGTTAAGGGTAGTGTCATAGCCTTCTTTTGTATCTGGATCTTCTTTCTGCTGCCTGCATTCATGTTCAAGTTCTACGAAGGCTGGACTTTTTTCGAGGGCGTGTACTATTCATTCATCACTCTCTCAACCATCGGCTTTGGAGATTATGTAGCAGGTACGTTACCAAGGCATACGACAGAAGTTGCTGACATGCAGTGGCATGCAATATGCGTAAATAGCTGTATCAGAAGGTTGGGGATCGATGGATACAGGTGAAGATACAAGCCTAGCCGCAAATTTCGACCGTATATGGCTGACACTATTTGCCCGGTTTGATGGTCGGCTAATTTATCTGAATGCAAAGCAGCGATGGCGTGTAGATTGCTCAGGGTGAACAGCACTAGGCTCAACAAAGCATTCAATCAATTTTCCCACTTGCTCACGCTAATAGAGTTCAGACACAAACACGCCGATCCACCAATATTTATTTTGGTGTACGAAAACTTTCCATTAGCCAGATCACATCGATCAGAGTGGTAGAGCATGCGTTCATATCGCGTGTCCTTCACCGCATTGCAAAGAGGGGACATATTGGAGGTGGTATTCCAGCGGATGTGAAGCGAGCGGGCATACAACTGTCGATATCCCGTGTGTCGTTGCCTAGCAGGAAAGCTGCAGTAGAACCTGCCAGTAACCAGATTGGCCACGTGTTGAATTGCGCATTAATTACCATGGTTACGCCGCCGTATAAACAGTTTAGCGCTGCATCGAAAGCCTGCAGCTTTTTATAGCAGTGAGAAACCAGCGAGAAATGGGGAAGCAAGAGAGAGGAGTAGGAGTGAGAGCGACGGGGGGGGGGGAAGATAGAGGAGAGAGAACAACAGTTGGAAAGGGGCAGGAGAGTGACGAAATGACGGAGAGAAAGAGAGAGAGACAGACGGGGGATTGAAGGTAAGGGAGGTTAGAGAGGGAGATAGCTAGAGGTGCTGCAGGGATGAATGAATGACTTGTTTCAGCGGCAGCCCAACACGTTTTTACCCGCTGCATTTCAGTTCTCGTGTATATATCCGTGACATATAATATAAGCACATTAGCCAGGGTGCGAGAAACTTGAGTGGTGGTCTGGAAACAATTCGGGAGATTCACCGTTAGCTAGCATGTGTGCGGTTGTTTTTAGCTCATCTGACATAGTCAGATGCAGCTTGTAGAATCGCATGAGGCCGGATTTGATCCGCGGAGGGCCTCGGTAGGATAGACCGTCATCGCGGTGTCCGTGGCGTGCCGTCGGTCTCAACAGTCTGGACAAAATGCGTTAGACACTCGACGTACGCGTCACGGATATCGCGGAGCGTGGGGTGGAGGGTGATGGTAATCCGAAAGTGTTGGGATGTCGAAGCTGGGTCTGTCGTCATAAGTCAAAGGTCAGACGACGTGGGTGTGAAATAGGGGAACATTCACTCCGTTACTTAAGGGTATAGTGGAGGAAATGCAGGGAATTGCACGGCACATCTAAACGTGGCCGCGACCTCGTTCTATGTGATAGTCAGGTGCGGCGCTGCGGGCCCCTGTCTTCGCTTGTCTGATATCTAGCATCACTGGTAGGAAAAGCCATCACTGTGCCAGAAATGGACGAGTCCGGTCACAGGGCAAGGTCAATGTGGCACAGCGGCAAGATTTTTTTAACATTTTCTGGAGGACATGTTCGTGACGCGAGCTATTGAATAAACTTTTGTCGTGTTTCAGCACGGGGACTCCTACCATTTTTATGGCCTTTATTGAACAGGGGACATGCAAATGTGGTCCACTGACGGTGCCGAAGAGTTAAGCTGCTCTGATAACCTTTTGACCCTTCAAGAGTAGGATCTTAATAAACATGGATTTTGTTAAACTGTTTACTGATCGTTTTAGCTAGAAAGAATTTTGACTGCTGGGGTTTGCTAGTAGAATCCGATTACATGCCTGGACTGTATGAGGGTACAATGCTCCACCAGTGAATTTCAAAGGAAATTTGGGCTTGAAGAAAGTTTATTGCTCCTTAAAACTCGATAATTTTCTATGGCATCTCTGTACTGTCAGCTACGACCGCTGTGTCCTAATATGCCACTGCCGAGGTGCATGTTGTGGTCGCATAGTATTGGGTGCTTAGTTTTTTCGCCTCGCGGTTATATTAGCGGTACCAGTTGGCAGCTCTCTATTGCAGGCGCTGTCAGGAGGGTTAAACAGTTATATGTTTCTCAACTGCGTTGGCGAGTACCTGTGGTTGTGCGAACGCTCCATTTTACAGTGAAATTCCACACCATAACTCTTACTTGGAACAATGGCGGTACTTAGGAGATAATTGAGATGATCTATATATGAGATTCTTGTAGTGTACATTATGTAATAGTTGGAATAGTCACATAGCACTCAAATGATTACCCTAGGAGTGAGGCTGTGGATTCCCAGACTTAATTTTCTCATCAAATTTTGGCACCCAAATATAGACGCAAATGTGGCTACGTTCTTGTAGGCTTATCGGCTCCACTAATCGACTGGCCTAACCTTGTTTTGTTTTTGTTATAGGGTTAGGGTCACCAATGCACCATACGAACATTAGTTTCAGGGACGCGATTCTGTACCGTCAACCAAGGGATTTGGGGAGTTATGCAGAAGTGGCAGAAGGTTGGCTTGAAAATCGATGTCGTATCGGCAACTGCCTGGTATCTGCCAGTATCTTGGCGCGCTGAACCAAAGGTGGCACTACACACAACTTAAATGTTACGTTTATAACCGTAGCAACAGACCTCAGATGAGCCCAGACGCTCTGCGGCTCTTGTTATAAGTATGGTTTCTGTACAGCCGATGTCTGTAGTTTGATTTTAGCATATATTCTCTATAGATGTCTTGTAATGTTCTTTCCTTTATACTTCAATCGTTATTTATATTTTATTAGATTTATTATTCATTCTGTTCGTAACATTCTGTAATACTATTTATCATTCTCAATGCGAGTACCTCGATCAGCCACACGTACCTTCACACACTTACCCTCACACATGAGAGGCCCCGTCGCATGCACGCACTTCCTACCCGTGGTATGTACACACCCCTACCAATGGCATATACCCACAACTCGACTAGCTACCAATGGCATGCCCATACGCACCACTATCTAGCAATGGCATGTACACACCCCTACTATATGGCATATGGATGTCACTTTCCCCCGGGCGTAGATTGAGGGCACATGATCACGTCTTATGACGTCACTGCACAAGGCGTTTATAATCATTTCCCTATATTATTATATTATTATACCCTTATTTCCCTAACCCTAACCCTAACCCTTAATACTAACACTAATCTTAACACTAACTAATCTTACTTAATCTTAACACTAGTGCTGCCACGTAGCGTCACCCTCAATCTACGCCCGGGGGAAAGTTATTCCCCATGCCATACACACCCGTACTAATGGCATATACACACCCCTACTAATGACATGTACACACCCCTACTAATGGCATATACACACTCCTACTAATGACATGTACACACCCCCACCAATGGCGTGGGCACCCTCATTCATGATATCAGGAGTCTATTGATACACTCCTGATGATATGTACACACTCCCCTCCCATGGCATATGGGCACTAGCTGTTTCGCCTTTCATAGCATTATGCACCATAGAATTCCCTTTCAACCCTGGTAATGCCAATGCGAATGCTTGCTATAGTCTGCCCCATTATATGGTAATTCGTCTGTATTAGTGGCATTTCCATTTTTTCACCTGAACTTCTACCAGGTATACATGGTATCAGGACTGAATATAACCAAACTGGTTTTTATATACCTCTGATCTATATTGATGTTGACTTGTGTACAATAACAAGAGCCGCAGAGCGTCTGGGTTCATCTGAGGTCTGTTGCTACGATTATAAACGTAAAATTT